ACCACTAATTCCTACCTCGGCTGATATTCTCCGCACACTCGTACCTGGATTCTGCTCTACCAGTGCTAGAATTTCTTCTTCTGCTCTAGGAGTGGATACCGACCTTGGTCTTCCGGATAAATGGCACTGTTTGCTCAAGGAACCGGTATCACGCAATCTTTGGTGAATTCTTCCAAACATGCGTTGTGAAGGAATCTGGCGATTTGGATAAGCGTCAACATAAAGACGTCGCGCTTCGGTGGCGTTCCCATTAGCACGACCATACATGAAATGCATGTCTGTTAATTCTGCGTTAGAGTAACCAGCCATAGCGAAAGAAAACTTGTGCACTGAGAACAACTGTCAAATACGTACTGTTTATTTCACTAAACATCAACCAACTATTATAAGAAAATACACAACGTTTTTGCAAAATAAAAAAGGGGCTAAAAAACACAAAACATTCCATATCTCCGCAACCGTTACTTTGCGGACCCACGTTTATTGAGACTTTTCTGCTTATTTTGGTTCATACAATAGTATGGACTGGAATAGTATAGTAGGAGGTAATACCTCCTTAAATATTTTACACTCTTTGTTTAACACCCTGTATAAGTTTCAACTTTAAAATCAAAATTCTTAAAAAGTATTGGTCGGAATTATAAAATTAAAAGTCTGTTGTAAAGAGAATTGTAAGAGCTTTCAAAAGAAATATTACTCAACCCCTAATGCCATTTAAATATTTTGGGGTGATGATTATCCTTGCTTGGGGGTGAAAGTGGCGGAGTCAAAAATACCAGCAAAGAATGTCCCCCTTTAATCCAAAATCGATGGGTCTGAGCGTTTTTCCACAATCTTGACGCAGTTACTGAAAATGGCTCCGTTTCGTATTCATTTGGCCACCCTGTATGTATAATCTAACTCATTAACGTGGTATCCAGACCTGAGGAAGGTCGTACTGATCAGGAATCGTATATACCGCATTTATTACTCAAAAAATAACGCCTTTCATTAAAAAATATTTAATATCGTGTAATATACAATATAGAATCAACTCCTTATTCTAGGTATTAATTAAATATTAAATTATGTACAAAAATGCTTAAATATACGCAACAACTAATAGTCATCATCATCGTCGTATTTCGAGGTGGGGTACTGGAAAGGCCGTCTTTGCTGCAGGGAAATATTGATCTCTTCCGGCGATCTAAAAACTTGTCCCGTGGAACCCTGGGGCTTGAGCGTGGACGACAAACGTTGTGGAACGGCTTGGGGCGCTACTGGCTGGACTCGCACAATCGCAGGGGAGACTAGACGTTGTTGGACTGGCACCCGCACCTACAACAAGCGTTTAATTATTATTAATAATCTTATTCAAGCAGTCGAAGTCAAGATCGAAGTTGCATAGAATTGATCATTACCGTCTCTACATTGGGGTTCGTAGGTAATTGTACAGCTGTGGACAATAAAATGTCCAAGTTAAACCTACTGAAGCATGGAACTGTCAAAATTGTGTTCAGGAAATATTCAAAGAATTTCTAGAGGAATAATTTTTTCTCAAAACGTACCTCCATATGAAATTGCCTCATCAAAGTATAAATAAATAGTTATAACGAGCGTTCAAATAAAAACGTGGTCGAAGTTGGCTCTGACACATTGGATGTAGCGAGTAGCTTATAGCGACCAACTTAACCTCATTTGTCAACGAGCTGTATAGCAGCTGTCAGTTTCAATAACGTTAATGACTATATAACTTTATTTTAAAGAATAATCGTGATAACAATAACAAACAATTAAAGGAGCTGCGGAAAGTGTCCCCCTCCTTGTTATAACAATAAATTAAAGCAGCTGCTGAAAGTGTCCCCCTCCTTGTTCCAAGCACTTTTCACACCTGTTCCTCAAAGAATTAAAGACATTTTCTAAGATGCTCGGGGTATTGTTAATTTCACGAATCTTGTCTATAAGTCGAGCCTGCAGATGGTTTAAATCAGGAATAGGCAGTTCAAAAATAGTGTTTTTAAGGTAAGGCCACAAAAAGAAATCACACGGCGTAATATCACATGACCTCGGTGGAAATTCATGTTCAGCATTGAGACTTATTAGTCGATTTTGGAAAACTTCCCTCAACATATTCATCGTCTCGCCTGCCGTATGTGCCCTTGCGCCATCTTGTTGAAAGTAAAAGTTTGTAATTTCGTTTTCTTCCAGCTGGTTAACAAAAGGAGCGATAATTTCTTCTCTATACCTTTGCGCAGTAAGAGTACCATTAAAAAAAATAGGTCCATAAATCCTCCTTCGATTGAGAGCACACCAAACTCCAATTTTTTGAGCGTGTAGAGGGCCCTCGACAAAAAAGTTATCTGGTTTTTCAGAAGACCACATTCTCATATTCTGTGAGTTTACGTAACCACTTAAATGAAACCAGGCTTCATCAGAAAAAAAGGTGATATTATGAAGTTCACCGTAGTTGTTTAAAAACCATTCACAAAATACAGCCCGTCGCGGAAAATCAACTTCATGAAGTTCTTGCTGACAAGTTAAACGATAGGAGAACAAACGCAAATCTTTTTTTAACACTGTGTGGCAGGTACCGACTGATACTCCCACCATTTGTGATAAAACACGTACAGAAGTTCTTGGCGCATTTTCCATTATTTGTTGGACATTTTCTTTTAATTCTTCAGTCCGCTTTTTAGGTCGGCCGCTTCCTTCTTTTCTTGTTACACTGCCCGTTTCACGAAAAACATTAACACAACGCTGAACTGCACTTTGAAAAATTTTGTACTCAACAACGCCGGGAAATTGATTTTGAAATTCTATGAAACATTCCTCAATAGAATACTTCCATATTCCATCAATCTTGCGTCCATTTCTAAAGTAGGACTCTATGATAAACACTTTTTGTTCTTGAGAAAACACCATTTTAAACGCTTTTTAAAACGAAAATATTCAAATTGATAGCGGCGATATAGCGCTTTGACAGATGACGTTTAAGTTCATTTGCTATGCCCTACGTCCAAATTTTCAGAACCAACTTGACCACGTTTTTATTTGAACGCTCGTTACAAGTACTGATAAATAGTATGTCCGCAGTTACGGTGAGTAAGAGGAATAACTTTTTTATTTTTCATTTTACGGAAAAAGGCACACTTGACAAAAAAACTTTGCTTGAATTTAAAATGAGGTTGCCATGGTGAAACTTAACATTTCATGTAAGAGGTGTCCAGAAAATAAGAAAATCTGAAAATGTCGCGAGAGTAAACTACCTTTATTTTTAGTATTTCTGAAAAGTGTAACTTGGAAAAAGTTGTTCCAAATTAAAAGATATGGCATAATTCCAATATGTGGAAAAATTGGCCTACTTTGATTATTTACAAATATTAACGTCCGCCGTTAGGGTGAATAAGAGGAAAATCTTTTTCATTTCAAGTAGAAGATTGTGAATAAAATGATATTTTATTCTTTACTCGTGTCACTGTACTTCGTTAAATACCCTCAACAGTAATTAATTACACAGACCATCAAAATTTAACTTTTTTTTTTGGAATCAGAAACTTGAATATATATATCCGAATGATTTAGGGGCGCTGAATCTGAATCTGGCAGCAGAATTGCTCTATCACGTCAGGTTTTTGAGATATCCTAACCTAAAAGTGTTAAAAACACTGTTTTTCGTCATATTTGTAGTAATGCCATCTATTCTTTTTCAAAAAACTAATATATTGAATCTAAAAGTACAAGGCTCCCTCCTTTGAATGCCGTTGAGTTTGCTCAAATATCTTTTTTTTTCGTTGAGATATCACATGTTGAAATTTTTAAATTTCTCAGTTTCGTAATATGCGAAAATTTACTAAGGACCCCTTAGACATCAAGCAGTCGATTGCAATTCAGAAACTTCATACCCATACGGTTTGTGGGTTTGGAGTTGGTGGGCTTGGGGTTTGTAAGCTTGGAGTTTGTAGGATCGGGTTTTGTAGGATTGGGGTTTGTGGGTTTAGGGATTGTGAGTTTGGGGTTTGTGGATTTGGAGTTTGTGAGTTTGAGTTCGTATGTATTGAAGGTTTCTGAGTATGAAATTTCTGAACTGCAATCAACTGTTTGACGTCTAAGGGATCCTTAGTAGATTTTCGCATATTAAGAAACTGATAAACTTAGAAATTTCAACATGTGATATCTCAACGAAAAAAAAAAGATATTTGAGCAAACTCAACGGCATTCGAAAGNGTAAAAATTTAAAACAATTTTGTGTGCGAATTGTTTTATTTAAAAACTCAAGTAACTTTTTTGCACGACTTGCAAAATATCACTTTTCAGAAATATTAAAAATAAAGGTAGTTTACTCTCGAGACATTTTAAGATTTTTTTATTTTCTGGACACCCCGAACATGGAATGTTAAGTTTCACCATGTCAAGCTCATTTTAAATCCAAGCAAAACTGTTTATCAAGTGTGCTTTTTCTCCGTAAAATGTAAAATAAAAAAGTTTTTCCTGAACTGAAACTAGAGGAAAGACAGACAGACATTTAATACGGATTCGATGACGTATTTTTTCACAGCCCTGGTAATATCAATAACTTAAAAAAAATGTTTTTCTAATAAAATTTGCGCCTAATCAATTTCTTAATCTTAATTTAATTTTAATTTTTTAAAATGGAACATTATTGTATTTTTTAATTTTTCATTGGAAATAAAAAAATTGAAAATATCTTTTGCAGAAACCTCAAACCCAATTCTTCTGGTCCTTTGCTGGCTTCCTCATTTCCTGTAATGATTTTCCTTTCGCTCCTAATCCTCTTCCTCCCTAATCAGCTTTTCCTTGATCTATCTCTTCGTCTTCTCGTTGTTCTCGTCAGTTCTGTTACTATCTTGACTATATTATTGCTTTCCATTCTAGCTATATGACCATAGCAATTCAATTGCTTCATTTCTGTATTAACGATTATGTCTTGTTATAATTTGGCCTCTTGTCTGATTTTATTATTTTTTCTTCTCTCCCATTTAGTCATTCGTGTTATTTTCCTCATGAAATTCGTTTCTACTATCATCAGTTTAGTCTCGTATTTTTTTCTGCAATATCCACGACTCACTTGCGTACATTGCTATTGGGCTTTAGGGACTTTTAATTTTATGTCTTTTCGAATATGGTTTTGTTGGGAGTATGGTACAAAGTCCTCTTTATTTGTTTCTGTTATTTCTCCATTTATTTTTATCGTTCTGTTGTCTTAGTTATGCTCTTTTCTCCGCGTTCAACTTCAGTTCTAAATTTTCTCTCTTGTGTCCAAAAGTTAACTATTTTTTATTTCATGTTTACGATATCAGAGAAAGTTGTTTTTTTTTGTAACATGAGTATGTTGGTAAGCTGAAGTTGAAGCTATTTAATGCAAACGGCAATGATTTAATATATCCATTAATGTCAACATGACTACGTTGCATGAATACAAGCTTTTATAATACTTCGACAGAAAGGGTTGTTGGAAGATATTAGGCGATCCTTATTATATCAAAATGACACTACCCACCAAATAAATATTGCTTAACTTACAGAGTGTTGGTGTTGAACTTGAGCCGGTTGTTCCTCATCGTAATCGTCGTTCCTTTGGCGGTAGACCTCGGGATAGTACCTGTCGGAGTACCTCAAAGATACGTTCGGTTTCTGCTGGTGTTCCTCCAAGTTCACTGGTTTGTACAAGAAGTCGTTTACGAAGTGATAATCCGAAGACTTTTCGCATATGTTGTCTCCCCCTGGAGGCATGCAAATCAAATGTACCTGAAAGAAAAGATTTCAGAACAGGCAACTTGCAGGACAATTTAATTTTTTATACATTTGTTGTCTGTGATCAATAACAACTAACAGTGCTAAAATATCATTTGTTTGATGTTAGAAATTAATGACGGATGTTTAAGATTATATTAGATTTTGTCAAGTGATCACGCATTGCGACGTCATTTAGTGCGACTCAGAAAACAACTCGTTTCTCGGCCGTATGCCGTCTACAATTTCTGTGCTGACGAGACGGACCCTGATCTATAGAAAAGCGCATGCGGGGAGCACTAAATAACGTCACTAATTAGTGCAACAACCTTTAAGAGATTTCTAATATTTTCACTACATGATTTGCGAGGTTATAGATTATTGCCCATGAATAAGCTAGTAGTGACGATTCTGATTAAACTAATGAAAAATTGGACAAAATAGTCGCTTCGCAGAACTTCTTACTAGTCCAGGTGCTAGAACAGTAAAAGTAGGCTTTGATGTTTGTGTTTGAAGTCATCTATTTTGTTCTACAGAAAAATTCCAAATATTATGTAGAATAAGAATCCGAGTTTGCCTATTCCAAAAAACCATTGCCAAATTCAGGGGAACAGCAAACATACAAGAAGAACGCAAAATTACCCGTTTTCCACATATTTTTGCTGTAACATTCATTCAAAAGTCATTTTTTATTTTTTGTTTATTTGACGATTTTCTGTAAAGCTTCAACAACTGCGAATTAAAAAAGTTGAATTTTGCATTAACAATGGGCGAAAAATAGTAGAAAATCATATGTATATTTGCAGCAATTTTCAAAATAAGTAAATATTTATAAATATTGATGAAACTGTGTGAACAAACAGTAAAACATATGTCAATTCTACCCTAACAATTTTGCAACGATCGATTGCGTGGTTTTCGATTGACAGGATTGTTAATTAAGATTTCAAAAGGTTTATCGCGTACAGTGGGTAGATTCTGAAGATAAGCGTAAAGTTAATAATAATTTATAACTTACGTAATCATGAAGTCGTGAAAAAGAATATGGTTTTATAGCTAACTACAAGTACTTTCAATATCCGTTTAGTGCATTTTCGGCAGATAAAAGCTTAATGAAAGAAAAATCAATCACTAACGACACTTACAGTGTACGATAATTCAATAAACAAAGAAATCTAAATAAAAAATTTAGATAAATTTGGAACGAATACAGTGAAGATGAATTTTTCGAGACAAAACGTCTGAATCTGGTTCGGGCTGAGGCAGTACAGTATTTGGAATCATGAAGGCTTGCAAAAAATGTAATAAAGTTTCTAGGGTCGTATTTAAAAAATGAAGTTGATGATGGTCCTGGAGAGACGAAACGTTACATACAAGAATAGATTATGCCATTCGATAGAGGGCAAAAAGTGGCCATGAGAAAATGATTTTCTTTTTTAAATATCACCTAAAACAAGGCTGAAATGAAACAAAAATGAATTTCCAAAATTTCGTTTTTTTTCAAATATTTCGAAAAGTAATCATGTTAGCCTTGATTTCTTAGAGGCATAATGTTGGTCCCCTGATTACGCAACTTTGCCCCCATTTAAGCTACTTCGTACCTCTTACCGTTTCCGAGATCCCTGTAGTGAGAAGCGAATTTGTAACAGCCTGTATA